TCACTGACATTGTTGAAAGAGTTCATTTCTTTATGGTTGTAGGCCCGAGGACCCAACTTCCTTGCTGGCTGTCCAGTGGGGTCTAAGTCTTCCATGTTCAAGCGAGCAATGACACAGAAATTCTCAGTGTGTTTCTAATCTCTTATATTCTCTTTGCTACCAAATGGATAAAACGGCCTTTAAAAGACTCATGTAATTAGATTAGACCCATCTGGATAATCTCCCTGATTAGTAACCTTAATTACATTACAAAATCCCTTTTACTGTGTAATGCAACATAGTCACAATTCATCCTCTTCACAGTACTGAAGACTAGGGTGGAAAGTCTCGGGGAGTTATTTTAGGATTATGCTTACCACAATGATATTTAGACTGTTTAAGAAGCTGACCAATCAGAATGTATATAAGCATCAATTGAAACTGCTATCCAGGTGTTCCCATTTACTTGCTGGATTGTGGATTGATCTGGGGGCACCTCAGAGGGAAACGCAGGAGTGGCAGCTATTTACCAACTGGTATGGAAATATTTCAATATTTTAACAACAGGGAACCACAGAACTCCATTGGTTATCTGCCTGCTTAGAGGAGTCAGAATCCTTGTGTAGTGTGTGAAGTATCTTGAGAGTCTCAGGTTGCTACCAGATGCTTGGGGGAGCAAGGGCAGAACGCCTGTATGTCTGTGGCATGCAGCAGTCCCTGCCAGCTCTGGTGCTGTCTTTGCAGTGCCAGCTGTGTTCTGATGAATGCCTCCATTTGCATAGCTGTCTTCTGCAGTGGAAAAGTCCATGAATCATTTGAGCCTCCAAATGCTGCCACCCCAAGGGAGAAAAGCAATCCTAAGTATCTGGGCAACCCCCGAGCCATCCCGCAGATATAACTCAGACAAGAAGGGACTATCTACCTCCAGTGTTAGCCTGAACACTCCACAGCAGCCAAAGAATTTGAGGGCTCTCAACTTGCTGAACGAGGCGCTACCACAGGGCATGATGCGCTCCATGCTGCACAGTGGCCACTGGCAGGCCACGGAGGTGCTTGTGGGTAAATTGGAGGAGGAAATGGGGCCTAAGGTCAGTGAACTTTGTGGGTCGGATCTGTCTCTCCATCTGATATTTTTATGTGAGAGAATTGGATTAAAATGGCATCGGGGTAGCTTCGCTGCTGGAAGTGGGAACACACATATCAGAACAGCAGGGAAATTGTTGTTCTGTTGAAAGAAGTAGCACGGAGGGAAATAAGGAAGTTGAGGGTAATATGAGGACAGAGGGAAGAGGAAATCACTGAAAATTGTGACTATGATGGTGAGAAATATGGACAGTTTTGCTTGTTGATTCTGGCTGGAAGCTGGGAGTGCAAACCTGGAGTAATCCCTGCACCCACTGTCTGGAGGGTGACTCTTTACATTACTACACTGGAGCCTCCTTTAGCCTAGAAATGCAATCGCTGCTGAGCCAAGTCTCCACACTACCACCAGCTCTGCACCCCGCCAGAGCGCAGAGACCCAACCTCTGCAAGGCTGCTGTTCCCTGATGTGCCTGAGCCCTCCCTTGAGGTGCGCCATGAGCAGACTGACAATGAAGTTTGTCAGCAACTGAGTCTCTATTTAGATGCCTGTGATGCTATTTGTTTTCTTAAAGACTTTTTTTTACTTACTTATGCATACAAGAACTGGGGTGTAGGCCAGAAGTTGGGTGTGTGTGTGAAAGGATTCACCAGAGACAGTAGGAGCAGAACAGACGAAGGGGGAAGATCTATGAAGTACACTATTGAGAGGAGCAGCAGGCAAGATAGGAGAGGCCTGCTGCACCCTGTGGGTCAGCTCCCTGGCTGGGGATCCATCTCCTGCCACAGTGCCTGGCTTGATAGCACTGATACCCCTGAGCAACCAGGGGTACCCCTCTGATGCCATTTGAAGTAGAGATTGGTCTTCAGTAGTTTCCCTTTCTGTAAACTTTCCCCTATATCAGGGTCCATCTAAAAACTACACTCACTGTAAAGTGCAGATGTTGCAAGTGGAATCAAACCTACTTGCAAGTATTTACCATTTAAACAAACCCAGAGATATTTTTGGAATCAGATTGCCCAGTATCCCGACTGCAGTGACTCCAGTTCCAAATGCTAAAGGCTCATTACCAGAGGGTAACAAAGCAGCAGGTATATTCAGAATGATGGGCCATGTCTCCGGATGTGTGAAGTATACAAACCCTACTCAGACTTGCTCCTAGCAGCCCACTCACCCAACTCCTTCCCAAGCCAGGTTCTTTTCTTCAGTGCAGCAGTAGGTGGCTTTGAAATACAACTTCCCACCAGCAGGTGGTGACAAGAGAGCTGCAGATGCTGATTCCCACCCTTCCTGACTAATGTCACTGAGCTCAGTGGGAGACAATGCAGCCCTGCATTAGGTGACAAGAAAATCTCTCCCATTTCCACTACCATTAAGAGCATCAGCTGTGAGACACCAGGGAGAAAATGAGAAATGCTGCAGTATGAATACTGCCATCTTTATAAGGGATAGGGCTAGGATGCCAGGCATAGGGGTGGGAAAATAAACCCTTGCAGTTTTATGCCTGCCCTCCTGACAGAGGCATACTAGGAATGAGTTAAGGCCACTTCAGTTATTGGTCTAGTTGGGTGTGAATTATCAAGAGAAATAGAATATGGAACTGCACTATATTTCATTTCAAAAGCAACAAACATGCAGATGGTTAGAGGTAGACAGGACCTTGCAAATTTATTCTGTTCATCTATTGATACCCAGATGCACAAGATAGCAGAGTTGGCAAGGATTGATCACCATCAATTCAGATATAGCTAACGGAGCATGAAAAGGCGCTCAACATCAGGAATCATCAGGGAAGTGCAAATCAAGACACTAAGATATGACCTCACACCTGTTAGTGTGGCTACTATCAAATAGGTAAGAGATACCAAGTGTTGGTGAGGATGTGAGGCAAAGGGCACCCTGGTGCTCTGTTGGTGGGAATGTAATTGGTGCAGCAACTGTGGAAATGGATGCAGGGTCCTAAAATATTTAAAAATATAATTACACTATGATCCAGCAATCTCACTTGTAGGGCTCTATCTTAAGGAAATCAAATCAACTATGGGTAGATGAATGGATAGAAAAATGTGGTGCATGCATGCAAACACACACAACACACACACACACACAGGAATATTATCCAGCCACAAGAAAGAAGGAAATTCTGCTAATTGCGGCAACATAGCTAAATGAAATATATCAGGCAGGCATGATCTAGGGTGTAAATGGAATGTAAAAGAAACAGAGTAGAATGGTGGTCATCAAGGGCTGGTAGCAGGAGAAATGGGGTGATGTTGGTCAAAGGGGTTAGAAGAGTAATAATTTCTGGATATATAATGTACACCATGGTGACTATGTTAACAATACTGTATCGTATAAATGGAAGTTGCTAAGACAGTTTAATATTTGTTTTCTCACCACCAAAAAAATGGTAATTTATGTGAGGTGGTTGCTATCATTATGCAATACAGATGTGTGTCCAATCATAACATTGTGTACCTTCAGCTTACAAAAGTCACTTTTATCTCAGTAAAGCTGGGGTGGGGGACACCATTTATTCCACCCTTCTCACTTTTTGGATGAAGAAATTGAGGTCCCAATGGGGAAAATAACTCAATCACACAGTTATAAATGACAGAACTAGAACTGAGTCCTTGGTCCTCTAACTCCTAATATATTTTTTCAATAAGATCCTTCCCTTCAATCTCTCCGCAAACATCTAAGAACTTAACCATCCTAGTAGGCAATTATATATCCTGGTTTTAAGAATACTAATGAAAGAAATTCTGTAAACCCACCTATGAGTATATATTTCATTTCCATTTATGTGTAAGAAATTCTTCCAAATAGATAATTCAAAAGTCTCCTGCTGAAACACAAGCCTGTTCCTCTTTTGTCTGTGTGTAATAGAAATGGATCAGATGTTCACTATCACAAATAATATTTAAGACTTATGGACAATGTGTGCACAGATTCTTTTTCATAGGCTAAGTGACTCCTCAGTGGTTAACCAAATCTGAGAAATAGTATCTATGAAGGAAGAAAAAAATTCAGGTATTTTACTCTATACCTTTTGAGCTATAGCAAAAACTTCCAACAACAGATGGAGACATGAGGGTGAGGAAACACTTTAATTGGAACCACACATTTAAATTCATTGGTGCCCAACTAAACTGGATCTCAGATAGCCAAACTCCTGCGGTAATTCTCCATTTCTGGAAATGCTTAGTAGATCATAAGAAAATAAGCTAAGGTTAGATATTTACTTTGTCATCAAGACTCTAGGCAGATCTGGACTGATCCTTTATGATTTTGTCATTTCTAGTTTAGAGTAATAAACACTGCTGAACCAAGTTGCTACGTGATAGTCAATAAAGATTCATCAATGGACTGTATGTAAGAGTGCCTCACAGCAGAATGCAGTTAGTCATGTATCTGATTAAAAAAAAAAAGTTGATCTTAGTCTGAGAAGGTAGTTCTGGGCAATGGATTGCTCAACTTTGGGATGGAGGGAGATATTTTCCAGGAAGAGGGGATAAGATCCTCTTCTTGTAACTGAATAATATTGCAGTGTGTGTGTGTGTGTGCACACATGTGCACATGCCTGTATTATTAGGTCAGCTCATTCAATTCTGGAGATTAGCTAGTGTTGTAGCCAAACTGTATTCATATCTCTGAGTTCTCCTTACCAAAGCAAGAAAATGGATTCAGAGATTGAAGTCTATTTTTAATAAATAGCCAAAGTCTTATCAATCAGGACATCTTCATAACACTGAGGTTCAATGGACTAGAAGTCCAAACTGAGTTGACTTGGAAAGAAATAATTCAATCTAACAATTGGAAAAGCTAAAGTCAAACAACTGAGGTAGACAGACTGTTTCGCTGAGCTTCCAGAGGGCTCCATGTCAACATGACCACTGCTGAAACCAAAGTAACCACCTTAAAAAGTGAAAGTACTCACGGCAATGAGCTGGTAAGAGTTGTTCATCATGGCGATCAGCATGTTCAGTAGCACTACTAGGGAGATGACGTTGTAGGTCCCGAACATGGTGGCTCCCACAAACTCTGTGAACTCATGTCTGGCTTTCACATTGGTGACATAAAGATTTAAAAGGCCAAATACAGACCAGAAGAGTGACTGAAGTGTTTCAAAGAGTCTAAAAGAGATTAAAGAGCAAGTTAGTTAAGTCTCTAGAAAAAGCAAGAGAAAATGTGAGATGATTTGCTTAATGAAGAAGCTGTCAGATTTGTGTTCTAACAGGTAGACTGATGATCCCACACAGTTTGGTCTCTTCTTCAACAGAAACCTGGCAGGTCAGTTTCTTTATTCCTACTCCTATGCCTTTTGGCTCCAGAATTTAAAAGTATTTATTATACTGGTTGTCAATGTATCACATCTGTGTCTTATGCTTTGTTCTTCTAACTGGAATACCACCTCCCGCTTAGTCTATGAAGAACCTACAGTTTTCCAAGACTTATTTCAAAGGCCACTTCCTCTACCAAATGTTCTTTCATCTTCCTATTATGAGATTTGCTCACTTTTCTAATTACACAGGCAATGAATAATGTGTTTAAGAATGTGTTGTGTTGCTTTGGGTTGAAATCTCAGCTCTTATACTTGTTAGCTGAGTGTATGCAAGTGAGTGAACATTTCTGATGCTTCTTTAGTGGATCCCACAGAGCCCAGAATGATGCTAAACTCAGCAGTGGAACTTAAGGGTTCTTGAGTTAATTCTTCATATGAATTATTTTTAATGGTATATTAATTAACAATTATTCAGGACATTATATTATCTACAAGCACGCCAAGCACTTTTACACATTATCATTATGATTCTTATAAAAACTTCATTGTTACTGCTGAGGAAACAGAGGTCGAGGGATGGAATGACTTGTTCAGGTCATCCAGTGCTGAGCCAGATTTCAAATCCAGGTCTGTTTGACTTCCCCAAACTACCACATTAGTCTATGAATGGTTTCACAACGACTCTTTCCTCTTGCCATCTCCACACCCGAATCTGTAACTCTGGAACAATATGTTGATGATGGCTAGTGTCTTTTGACTCATATTCAGTGAAGAATATAAATGTGAAGAAATAAAATGCAGATAGAACATGGGTAGCACAAGTCAAACATTTCCTAGGTACACAGAAGAGGTACAGAATATAAGAAATGCTAATTTAAGCATAGGTATATTTTTTCAATTTTTTTTTTTTTTTTAGAGCCCAGTGTATTTTGAGGGGCTTTGGGATTTTTTTTTTCTTGGGATCATGGGGATATGTGCGTGCGAAATGATTTAAAGATTCCCAGAATTACATAGCTTCTTCCTTCCTGCCTCCCTCTCCCCTCCCTTCCTTTCTTCCATGCATACAGAACTGGGGTACAGGCCAGAGGTGTGTGTGTGTGTGTGTGTATGTGAAAGGATTCACCAGAGACAGAGTGGGAGCATAACAGGCAGATATACTGAAACACACTGCTGAGGGGAGCAGTGGGCATGTCAAGGGAGATCTACCACACTATGTGGGTCACCAACCTGGCTGGGGATCGAACTCGTGCTGCAGTGCCCGCAGTAGCTACATAGTGCTGTGCTTTAAACATTGTGCGGCCAGGGAGGGACCTCCATAGTCTCTTTAAACTAAAATTTTCCTTATTCCTAAAATGGTCATTGGCAGCATAAATAACAATGGCTAACATTTATTGTGCTAAAATTATAGGTGTAAATACCTTGCATGGGTTTTAATACAACTGATTCTTGAACAAAAGGGAGGTTAGGAGTGCAGACCATAGGCAGTCAAAAATATTTGTATAAATGATGGCTATGGTGGGTGGGGTGGTCTGCAGCTACAATGGGCTCAACCAACAAGGTTGGTTGAATCCATTATTGTAAAACCCAGCAGAGGAGAACTATCCATGTATAAGTGACTCCATGCAGGTCCAATCCATTTTGTTTAAGGGTCAACTGTATTTGGTTCTCAGAATTACCCTGTGAAGTAGCCACTGTTATTTTTCTCGGTTCTCAGAATAACCCAAAGAAGTAGCTACTATCAATCTTTTATTTTTTTTTTCAATGAGAAACTGAGGCACGTTATGGTCACATGGGCAGTAATTGTCAAAGGAAGGATTTGTAACCTGCTCTTCTGACTCTGGAGCCCACATCATTAGCCACCTCATTCAGTCACTTAAGGTACCACACAAAGCACTCAGAGCAGTGTTTGGCATATAGTAAGCATTCAACATGACAGCTATTCTAATTGTTTACTTGTGTTCTCTGTTACACTATGTACCTCTTGAGAATAAGGATGCAATCTTACTCAGTATCTTGATTGCCCGCCACAAAGGAGTTGCTGGATCAATGTTACTTGAATCACTCTTCAAAAGAAAACAGAAACACATAACCAAGGAAAGTACCAACAAGTGTCAGGATAAGAGAAGCAGAAAGCCAATGACCTGAAATTTGGGGGCAACCTGAGGATAACAAATAAATACCTTTAATCCTAGTCAGAACAGAGAAAGAAAAACCTCTTAGGGAGACTAAGGTTATGTTCGTGTGAATAATATGGGAAAACAAACTTAATATTGGGTTGGATAAATTACCAATCATGAAGTCAGAATAGCCACGAATAAATGGTGGTCATCTATTGGGAGAGCCCCTAAGTGATCTGCTAGGTTATGAGTGTCCTATTTATCCTGACTTGTACTCATAATGATGGCAATTTGGTAGAGCAAATGTTATATAACTTCACAAAGACAACCTTATGCCTGTGTCCCTGGATAAAATTGTGGACTGGAGCTTGTGTGCCAGGATTAAAATCCTGAGTCTGCCACTTACCATCTGTGTGACTGGGGGCAGCCTATTAAATGGCTTTTGACCATAATGTCTCCATCTGTAAAATGGGTAAAAAAATGCTACTTCATAGCATGATTGTGAGGATTTTTGTAAAGCTCGTTTGAAATTGTGTCTGTATCTAGCACTGGAAATTTTAGTCATTGGTATTACTATTAGCCTTCCACCTGAATGTAACCTTATTATTTGACATCAACTTATTGTCTTCATAGATTACCCTACATTTGCATATCTAGTTGTACATAGTTGCAATTACAATACATAAAATTTTTGTGTTTTTAAAACTTATACACTTTGGGTAGGATAGTGTTCTCATTTATATCATTGTAATAGCTGTCCAATATTCTACCCAGCAAATAACAAGTCTGCTTGACAGTCTTATCAATGTTTTGCATGAAACTATGTGGCAAGTTTCTTAGATCTTTGGGTGAAACAGAACTGGTTGATAATAGCTAACAGATTGATGACAAGATCAAGATTCAGAAAGATATCAACAACCTGGAGTGATGGGCCAGAATTATCAAGACAAAATTTAATAGGCATTATAGTTGAGGTTTATTCTTGGGCCATGGGTCCAAGTACAGGATGAGGGTGATAGGATAGAGGTCAAGGTGTTCTCTGGCAGCAGACTCAAAGTAGATCATCAGAGTGACACCTGCCCAAGATACTTCAGTCATGTGATGATATTGGAAGCAACAGATCTTCTAGAATTATGATAGTGGGTCCTCCCTCGTGGCCTAGGGGCTAAGTCTATGTGCTACCACATGAGGCCACTGTGATGGCCTGAGTTCCATCCCTGGGTGGGGAACTGACCCACATTGTCCAGCAGACCTCTCCTGTTTCAAATGCTACTCTCCTCAGCAGTGTATTTCAGTTAATCTGCCTGTTCTGCTCCCCACTTTGTCTCTGATGAGTTCTCTCACTCCTCCTCCCCCTCATACCTATGACCTATCCCTCAGTTCCTCTACACAAAAATAAATAAATAAAATTTAAAAAAAAGAACTGCAGATAGATAGGATTGTTATTGAACTTCATCCTTTTATTCACCTAATTGTTCAGTAGGCATTCTGAGTACTTTTATGTCTTTGGACCCTCTGTGGTAGTGTGAGTCCTACTAGGGTGTGTGTGTGAGGTCTCGGTCTGGTGGGTGAAAGTATAAATGACAAAATACAGCAAGCTACCTATTGTCATGGACATGTGTTAGAATGCCACAGGTTACACAGAATGAGCTTGTAACTGGAGTGGGGTTGGAATAGGTAAGAAAAGGCTTAGCTGGTCATGGTCATGAGTGCCTGTGGTCCTGGCTACTCAGAAAATGGGCAGAAGAATGGCTTTGGTCCAAGAGTCTTGGGCTGTAGTGCATGATGGCCACGGAGTGTCTACACTCAGGTGAGTATCAATATGGTGAACTCAAAGGAAGGCTGACCTGGCCCGGGGGGGGGGGGGAACAAGCAGATCAGAACTGATTATAACAACAGCAGCAGCACTTAAGAGAATAGGTAAGGCTTTGGCAGAGAATTGAAGGATGAATGAGAGTTTTCCAGACAAGCCAGGTGGAGATAGGCATTCCAGGAAGAAAGAATGGTTTTTCATATGTGAAGACTTAGAGGACCAAGTCACTCTCCTGTAGTTGCAAAAAGCCAAGTGTTGCCGGTGGAGGACAGGAGCGGAAGGCTAGAGAGGTGGGGTCAGATCACCAAGGCCGGGCATGCTGTGGTAGATGCTGGGTTATATAGTGGAGAAGATTCAGATACCTGGTGAACATGTAGCCATGGAGGACAGAATGAAAGTGCTATGGAGAGAACAACTTCTATGTGGTGACTTAGAAACTGTTTGGATAGGAGGTGAGACTGAAGGCAGGGAGACCAGTTAAATGTATAGTGTGATCCTTGGGAGAGATGATTTAGGACTGAACCAAATCTGTGGGGTGTGTGTGTGTGTGTGTGTGTGATGAATACAAGAGATATTTAGGAAGTAGAGCTGAGAGGACTGAGTGAGCACCTGACATGAGGGGGTGGGATGAGGTTCCCATCTGGGAGCTGCCATTATTCTGGTGTCATTTAATAAGATGAGGAACTAAAGGAGAAATAAGTTCTGGGTGGGAATATGGAGTTAGGAGTGTTGAAGTCTTCCCACTTCTTCTCCAGACAGTAGATGAAGGCTGGGTGCTCAAGCCATCAATAAGTGGATGCCATACTTCATGCCAAGTATTTAAACAAGTTCACTTTCCCCCTTCTATAAGCTGACTGATGTCAGCATCTTTCTGATGCTGGCTGATAAGGTGCATTTTAAACAGGTATTATAAATGCCTGA